GTGTGTGTATGTGCGTATATCTAGACACACATATATATATATATATATATGTATGTATATGTATGTGTATGTGTATGTGTATGTGTATATGTATATGTATATGTATATGTATATGTATATGTATATGCATGTGTATATGTATGTGTATATGTATGTGTATATGTATGTACATATATATATATATGCATGTATGTATGTCTGTATGTATGTATGTATGTATGTATGTATGTATGTGTGTATGGATATATATATATATATATATAGATGTGTGTGTGTGTATATAGTGTATATAGCATGTGTAGTACATACATAGTCTAAATCCAAAATTACACAAAGCTTATATGGTGTATATATTAGATAATATTGTAAACTATGTTACATGATATTTAGTATATCATATTGCCTTATATTATACTATAACCTTATGCTATAATGTTATGTTATAGTATATTATACTGTATCGTATTATATTATATTCCTTTACATTATACTATACTCGGTTATAATTGATACTTCTATATATATGTATACAAACAATATGGCGAAGCGCTGCAGATATTGCCTTATCGGTTCGTTCGGGGCCTGGCCAGCAGACTGGGACTTGAGGCGCGTGACCTGGCTGTCACGCCTTGGTACCATAGGGTTTAGGGTTTAGGGTTTAGCTGGGAAGGTATATCATACTATAACTATGGTACCATAAGGGCTTGAAGAATTAGAATAGGGCTTGGGGGTATATCATACTATGACTATAATCAGGCGAGCGAAAATTTGGGCCTTAAGAATCAGAGTAGGTTTTGGAGTATGTAAACGTATAAAATTATGCACACATACAGGTAGTCGACCGGTTTGGGCTTGAGGGGTGTAGACTCAAGGGCCCACGTGCTTCCGCGAATAATGCTCGCCCTGCACTTTCTCAAGCCACTGACCCGCAACCGAGTACCATACCCGAAACTCTAAAGCCTATTCATTGGGCTCTGACGTGCAGCAATGTCGTTTCTCTGAGGCGAGTGCTTTGAATCGGGCTTCCGTGCAAGCTGACCTAGGACCTAGCAGTTCTCCTCGGCGAAACATGAGCTATGAAGCTTCATTGCTAAATCAAAAGCCCGCAACTTGAACCCTAAACCCCAGAGCCCTAAACAAATTCTCGAGAAACCCCTTCGCAATGGTGTTACCCTGTTATCTGGTTCCAGCTTCTCAGCCATGAATCGCGAGACCTGGAAGAAGAACCACATCCGGTGGTCTTGCTTAGCGGTTTAGGTTTTGGGGGGCTCAATAGGTGAGGTCTCGGGAATACTATTGGTACTCATAGCCAAAACCAACTTGGGCGATGCTAGAATGTTAAGCTGTGCTTCATAAGCGCCTTAGACCCATGATTAAAACAATAACCGATAACCCGGGGGCTTATGTTACCAATGCAGACTGCAGCTACATATTTCTTAAGGAACACACAGCACCCTAAACCCTAGAGCACTGAACTCCTACACCCTAATTCTTAAACTCAAAACCCCCCTACATCCTGAACCCCAGACCCCCAAAACCCCAAGCCCGGGAGGCCTAAACCCTGGTAATGGACAGGCAGGCTCCGAAACAAGATCCACTTGGGGCACCGGCTCGGCAATCTTCGATCCCTCTGCATGCCTGCTCGACTATGTACAACAGGGTTCCTTCGAAGGGTTCCCGGCCCCTCGGTTGATAAGAGTCAAGCTTTGGTCATGGACCTGCATATATGTGTATGCATGTAATATGTATGTATGTATGTATG